GCCCCAGACATGAGTTGGACCCCGCGATGCCGCTGCGTAGCTTGCCAGCGGTCGTGCCGTTGCTGCTGCTGTTGCTGGTTCGACACCAGCAGCAGCAACGGCACAAACACCGAATCCCATCCAACAGACGAGCAGCAAGCCCTTTGCCGTCAGCGCGACCGATCCTTCCGATCAAGGTTTGGCCTCTCTCGTTGCCACACGGCGCGCAGGGAAATGCTGCTGCTGCTGCTGCCGCTGGCCGTTCTACGCAGTTTCGTCGTCGTTCGCCACGGACAGCCGAAGAAGGTGAAGACGAGGACGCGGTTTGCGCTGCTGCGCGCCCTCTCTGATCGCGGTTTTCCTCGTGGCGCGTGCCGCGTGCCACACGCGACGTTCGGCACCGTGGCCGAGGCTCAGGGACGTGCGGTCAGGGGAGGCAGGCGAGGCAGAGCCTCACCTGTCACACTCCAATGAAAATAGCTGTTACGAAAAGTAGAACAAAAGAATAATAAAATAAAATATTTTTCCACTGATCTGTGTTATAAATGTCATTTCTGTACGATTCCAATCATTTTTATAGTCAAAATCGCCAAATTTGCGGAGCTCCGCTGCAAATATAGGAAGAAACGAGAGGTGAGGCAGCAACGTGCTCAGCCTCCCCTCTGATTGTACAACCCCTCAGTAACTGGATGGAGCGCGGGCAATAAGCACGTGCCTGTTACTATCTCAGTATGTCACCAATGTAATGTTTGTAGACTCTTTCATTTCATGTCCTCGCCTTCCATACTCCAGGTAACTTATTTCACGTATGTGTATACATATATTTAGGCTCGCTGGTCTCGTCATGAAACTACAATGAAAAAGCACCAGGGGAGGCAGCTATCACATCTGCCTCACTGAGGGTGACGTGTCTAACACGCCCCCCTCAGTGAGGACGCGCTCCCCTCAATGATGCCACGCCCCCTCCATGAGGTCACGCCCCTCTCAGGTGTGAATCTGGCTCTGACACTAGCCAGTGCCTCCCCAGCCATTGACCTCACCGCACGTCACTGCCGAGGCTCCGTCCAAGCTTTTTTGCCGGGCCGCGAATCGCGACGATTTTACACCGAATCGCAGCGGGAGAGAATTTATCTCGACCGCCGACTTAACATGGATAAGCCGCAACCAGAGCAAGACTAGAATCGAGAGCTGATGAGAAATTGGTTCTTCTGCAAAGTCGATTCCAGCGTGCGATGAGGCTCCACGTTGTCAGAGTGAGTTCCGGATCAGATGAGCATTGAGGCATTGGTGCTCATCTCCCGCTTACAGCCACCGAACCGGTGGTGGAAATTCCACATTCGAAGCGGTTACTAATTTGTATCAACCACCGAAGGGAGGGATGAAGGGATGATAGGCTGAGTCAACCCCCGAGCAGGATTTGAAGTCTCAACCTTCTGATTGCGAGCCACTTGCTCCGCCACTGAGCCACCTGGCGGGAGATGAAGATCATTTTCACTTGGGGCTCCATGCAGTGAGCAGAGCAACACCTTGTGGCAGAAAACGGCCCCGGGAGACCAAAATACATCACAGAACTACTGTCTGAACACTTGAATTCAAAACGAAGATAAACACCTTTTTTTACATTTTCCCTACAAAGGGAATGCATTGCTCGCCGGTGCAATTGAAAACTGTAAATCCCCAGAGGCGAAATAATCCGATTGAATAAATCTTGCAAAAATATAATAAAAAAAAGTATTTGCGCAGTCGTTGATTGACCAGACTGAGAGCGCCCACTATCAATACGGTCGAGTTCCCCGCTTTAGTCACTGGCGGATAATTGCCAATGCAGAGTCGAACCTCAACGGGGACCGGCTCGGTGCTTCGACACGGCCGTGATGAACGCCGCCCGCCCGCCCACCGGGCCGGCCAGCAGGGAGACGAGGCCGCGGATTGCAGGTCATACCCCGGCGGGCACGGGGGTTGGAGTGGGGGGGTTGGCCAGGCGGTGATGGCGGGTGGCCGCCATCGCCGCAGATATAAATGTTGCCTCTGACTGCCGCACTCTCCGCAGCTGCAAAAGGTCTCACATCCAATTTACGCCTCCGTCGAACGGGCACGCGACCTCTAATTGCGCACGCGCCACGATTTATCGCCGGAGGGATTCGCGCGGACAGGCCGCCACAAAGGGGCTTTTGTTTAATTGCACAAGCCGCGCGACAGCGGGGTTTCCGTTGCATGTGAAATACCACCCGACCCGACGTCTCTGGGCCCGCGTCGAGGGTCCATCAGCAGACACGGACCCAATGTTCCGTGACCCGGTGGTGACCATGCACAAGGCTCACCTGCCTCCCGGGCGCTTGCATGGCAAATGTAGATGTCCGTGCACGCCTCGTTCTAGTCCGCATCTGCCCTCACCCACCCCACCCCCGCATCTCCATCCATCTGACAAATGAACCTTACGGCGGGAACCCGGGGTCCCATAAGCCCCCGGCTCTCACGTAGACATTATATTATAAGGGGCCGTCCATAAATGACGTCACGCACCGAGAGGGGGGGGGGAGGGGTCAGACATTTGTGACGATGTGTGACGAGGGGGGGCGGGGGGGGTTTGAGAAATGTGACGTTTACATCAAAATGCGCAACTTTAAATAAATATTCATTACATAGAATTGTTATAACAACACTAATTTTGAATCATTTTCATTATTAACTGTTTGAGTATTTAAATTTACGAAGGTCACCTTTTATTTAGTCCATGAAGGAGCATTTTGATTTTTGTGACGCCGTGTGACGAGGGGGGGAGGGTAAACAATCGGCCAAAATCGCGTGACGTCATTTATGGACGGCCCCTAATGTTAACAAAAACGTTGCTCTTTGTCACCAATAGGTTTGGAGGATGGTGGCAGGTGTTGTCTTGTTAAACTATACCTTTAAAACTGAAAACTACTTACCTGCAGTGCCTCTATTTAAATACACTCTAAAAGATAATGTACACCCCTCTGTCAATCATCGTGTTTCTCAGTGTGGATTTGTGAACACACTTTGTAAACAATACGTAAAATAGTACGCGTTTTCAATGCGCTGTTCAGATTGTTACAAGCGTTACTCTACAGAGTAGTGGGTCGCCGCTCCTCTTATCCGCATTGATACGAGCGGTGTGTGGGGACTATGGCTTAACCGCAAAAATAAACCGATTTGCACAGATGCATATGGAGAACAGAAGTAGTATCAAACAGGAGAAATTAACGGTGCAACGCTTCTCACCTGCTAAATATCTGCAGGTAATAGGATTGTCATCGATTAATCCTGGCTGCAAACATTGGTTGGTCACAAATAATAATGAAGACAAGAGAGCAGTTTCACTGTATTATTATGCATACCGTTGTGACAAATAAAGGACTTCAGTCGTGTAGGCAGTTTGAGCAGCTTTGGATAAGACTTGTTATGATCCTGCCCACACCCGAGAACGGAGAGCATTCGCTTGTCCAGCTCTTCTGCGCATTCATCTTCGCTGCTGCGCTTGGGCACGACGTGACAACGGAACGATCCGCGCCAGGTGAGCCGTCACGTTTATGTGCACGGTGGGACGGAGTCGTCAAAAACAAATGAATTAATTACGATTTTGACTTCCGGTTTTCGGGACCCCGTGGTCCCGCCATGAGGTTCATATTATGGAAGAGTAAAAAAAAATGTACGAGCTTGCTTTTAATTCCACTTTTGCCAAATAAAAAATAAAACACAGCTGACTGGCGCGGGCAGGAGGAGACGCGTTGCCTCTGCCCCGCCGCTCACGCGCGTATTGCACAAACGCTCAAATGCCCATCTTTGGCCGGAATCCTTAAGCGAGAGATCACAATCTCACACGAACAAATAAATAAACATTTAAACAAATACATAATTCGTGTCATTGACATCCTGGTCTTGCCAGAGGGACGGTTCGTGTGCCACAGTGTGGCACTCTCAATTCTGTTAATCATGGAGCTTTTAAGTGAGTCTCAGGGCCCTTTTTGAAGAGGGTTCGACATTGGGGATGTTTGGCTAATTGTTCCGTAGGGATGTAAAGATTCGCCTCCATCGAGATTGTCACGATTTCATGCTCACGATTCAATTCAAGAACAGTTTTTTGTTCTTGTTTACATTGTGGTGAATGCAACAGCCTCTAGTGGCTGGAGCGGTCCTCTGAACCCATTGCCATGCAACATTCGCGTGTATCGTGAACTTGACAACTGACATCAATCGTCGCATCGTTAAACCCGTAGATATACCTGCGTACGAGATAAACCCAGGTTAATCGGATTAAACCCACCACTTGTGCAGGAGGATAACACGCAAAGGTCTACACAGCTAAGTACAAGAATCCACTTGCTCTACTGTTATTTCCTTACGCATCTCAGGCCCGCGGACATCAGAGACTCAGAAATGTGAGTTATGGAGGAGGAGGTGACAGAAGGAGGCTCTGAGAGCGACTGTCTGGTCACGTGAATCGCTCTTTCCCCCCGCCCCGACCTTCACCCCCTCCAGCTTCTCCCCCACCTCCTCCCGTCTCTGCCTCCCCCGGTGGCGACCTTCACGGGCGGCAGCGCGGACAGCCCTCCGCTCAACGGCCGCCGTCGAGACAGAACCTCATGCACGGACAATTACGCGCGTCGCCATGCTGCGTACAAAAATATACAGAGCGGCAATGTCCCGAGGGTGCGACCACGGCTTGCCTGCCGAGCCACGGGGAGCGATTATCCTTCGTTTCTTCACAACAAAAGCAATCTAGTGCTTTTACACTTCGTACCATTCAACATACATACGCTCACACACACAAAGACACAAGTCCCCCGTATAGCCTTAACAGACTGTTGGGGCAAGTGCTGTTAGCGAGCACCTATGAAGGCCGGCACGGCAACCCGAGGGGTGGGTGGCCAGCACCACGCCCGGCCGCCTTTGTCTCCCCGAGTGGCGACATTTAAACATCGCACGAAGTGCTCATTTGAGGCTCAGTCGACCTACGGGAGGCCCAGGACTGGTTCAGATAATCATCACTGGTGTTCGTTGGCCGTTGGCGGGAATCAAACTCGGGACGCCGGGTTCGTAGCGCAGCATGCTAACCGCTACACTACCGCTCCCCACACACTCACGCGCGCAGGTGGCAGGCAGAATCATAATGGCTTGGCCCATTAGCTGGCAGCCGAGCGAGCGGCATAACCACAGCCTGGCCCCTGGCCCACGTGTCCATTCCAGGCCGTGGATGCATTGCGGTTGATTCTCTGACATTCGTCTGCTCCTTCTCGGTCGCAAGTCCCCACCATGTCCCGCGCTACCCCTCGAAGCGGATGCTGCTCAGCGTTCAATCTCAGCAGACAATCTTTAGTCGGACCATTTTGGTAGATGATTTCAAACGGACAATCTCAGTGGACACAACCTCGTTTCACAATTTTGCCAGGCAATCTCAATTCACAGTCTGCACAACAACCAGACACTCTTCGGGGTGACAATCTCAGAGCACGATCGTACGATTGATCTCTATTGTTGGGTCCGCTCGTTGCCACCAGGCTCCGAGATGATACCCCCCAGATGGGAGCCCCCCCCCCTCCCCGCCCAATTGAAGCCAACGCAGGCCGCGTGTCCGAAGCGGTTCAGGGCCCCACGTGCGTGCATTCCGTGCGCTCCATGCGCGGCGTGCCATCTGTCGGCGCCGGCAAAGTGAACACGCTCACGGGGTCACCGGGGGGTCTCCTCTCGGGCCGAGTCGCGTTGTTCTCGCTCATCTTGCACAGCAAGCGCCGGCACAGGTGCACGCAGCGTCCCAGCAGCTTGCGCCGACACAGGATGTAGACCCACGGGTCCAGGATGGGGTTGAACGATGCCATGCGGATGGCCTGCAGGTCCAGCTTTTGCGATGACTTCTCGTCCTGGGGCGAGTTGCTCGATAGCTGGTTCACAAAAATCCTCACCTGCCGGAGAGACAATGGGCACTATGTGGTGAGAAATCATGGCATGTAGGTCAGCGCAAGATCCCGTAGGTTCATCGTGTGATCACATAGGTCATCGGGAGATCTCATAGTTCACCGTGAGATCCCATAAGTCACCGTGAGATAATAAAAGTCACCGTAAATCTATCCAGAGAAAAGCCACCGTGCATACACTCACACGTCCCCGCAGAATAGTTCATGATCCCACTTTGTGTTCGACAAACTCATGGCCACTTCGCATATCAAGATGTGTGGGTGCTTTACAAATGTGTTATACGAGTTGCCATTCAGAACTGGACCATGCAGAGTGGTACTTAGATGTTTTTTGTCAATGTTTTTTTTTTCTGTAAGCAGGCTTCTCGGTAAAGTAAACAGGTCCCCATCGAAAATGAGGGGCATTCATTGCTCAATCGATTTTACCTGTGCCAAAATAAACCAAAAAAAACTTGGGTGCCAAGTGGCTCTCCCAGGCCACACGGCACTCTCAAGGTGTGTTGACAAATGCTGTTCAGGGCCCGTGAGGGCGCTGCTGGGGGTCGCTCTTGGTAATTCGTGAATTGTTTAATTGTCAATAGTTTAATGGCCCTCAAAGGCACCGCAAGAGTGCAAAGCGAGGGGGTGTTTTTTTTGGCTGTCGGGGTCCCGTCTTTTACAAGGAGTGCTCTCACGAATAATGTTGAAAACCAGCAGCAATGGTTTAACAGCTTATGAGATCCAATATTAATGAGCACGGTGGCTACGTAGGGTGCGAAAGAAGTTCAACATACAAACATCGATAAATCGGTGCAGAGTTGTTTTGCTTGAACAAATTCTACTCTTTGACATAACTCGACACGGCCAACAGGACCATCGATGATGTGGAGGTACCGAGCACAAACGTGAATTTAAATGTTTGTAATTCACGAAATATGAATTTCCCAAACAACCCAAAGCCGGACTCTTCTGGCAAAGACTTAACGTATCGCACCTTAGCATACATACAACTCATTGAGGCTTTCCGGGATAATTGATTTACATCATTATTATTCATTTACAGGGAGTTAATCGCGTAAAAGCCTCTCCGCGACTCGACGTGGCTGCTTGGGTTATCAAAGGTCAACTGGGGAGGGCAAAAGTGAAAATGTATCGTCCAGAATTGCGCCACTACGGTTCTTCTCTGCGATATTTGCGCTTTGCGCTGACGGCCCGTAGGGTAGAGAGGGGGGGCACTCACCAACAGCGCCTCGTACAGCCGTCAGTGTTTGCTTAGCGCGCCTGGCTGCTGATGAGATACAAACGCGTTCGCGCGCTTAAACAAATGTTGTTGGTGAGCAAATAATGCGAAGAGAGAAGTGGTTTTCATATAGGGTACCGATTTGGTCCATGCCTGAACGCACTTGGCAACGACCTCGACGACCTAAGTGCGATTCCCACCTACGGCTAACATCAGTGAAGAGTGATACCCGAACCAGTTCGTGACCTCCCCTCTCGCCCCCATCCTCTCATCCTCCCATCCTCTCATCCTCTCATCTTCCCATCCTCCCATCTTCCCATCATCTCATCCTCCCATCCTCCCATCTTTTTATCCTCCCATCCTCTCATCCTCCCATCCTCCCATCGTCTCATCCTCTCATCCTCCCATCTTCCCATCCTCCCATCCTCCCATCCTTCCATCATCCCATCCTCCCATCCTCTCATCCTCCCATCTTCTCATCCTCCCATCCTCTCATCCTCTCATCCTCCCATCCTCCCATCATCTCATCCTCCCATCCTCCCATCTTCTCATACTCCCATCCTCCCATCTTCTCATCCTCCCATCATCTCATCCTCCCATCCTCCCATCATCTCATCCTCCCATCCTCCCATCCTCTCATCCTCCCATCCTTCCATATTCTCATCCTCCCATCCTCTCATCCTCCCATCCTCCCATCCTCTCATCCTCCCATCCTCTCATCTTCTCATCCTCCCATCCAACCATTCTCTCATCTACTATTCTCTTATCCTCCCATCTTCCCATCCTCTCATCCTCCCATCCTCCCATCCTCCCATCTTCTCATCCTCCCATCCTCTCATCCTCCCATCCTCCCATCCTTTCATCCTCCCATCCTTTCATCCTCCCATCCTCTCATCCTCCCATCCTCCCATCCTCCCATCTTCTCATCCTCCCATATTCCCATCATCTCATTCTCCCATCTTCCCATCCTCTCATCTCCCATCCTCCCATCCTCCAAACCGCTCATCCTCCCATCTTTCCATCCTCTCATCTCCCATCCTCCTATTCTCCTATCCTCCCATCCTCTCAGCCTCCCATCCTCCCATCCTCTCAGCCTCCCATCTTCCCATCCTCTCCTTCATCTGCACCCCTCATCGCACCTCGCGACGACACCGTCACAGCTACGAGAACACCGTCCGGAGTCGCACCGTCACGCGCGCAGTCGTGATCGGGGAGCATAATGTGACTCGGCACCCAAGCACCACGGCCCTACGCGCCGTGGTGCTTGGGTGGCTGTGATGTGACCCAGGGGATGGGGGGGGAGGGGAGTCACTCAGTCGTTCGCGTGGAGAGGAGGGGGGGGGGATTTTCCCCGGGGAAAAAAAACCGGTTTCCTCCCACGCAAAGCCAAACATTGAATATTTACACGAACAAACATCCCAACTGCGGGACAAATGCAGGAGTCACCACCTGAATAACCGTATGATTTAATTATCGTATTTCATCCCCTCTCAGTGAGAGAGAGCGAGAGAGCGAGAGAGCATAATTCGGAGGCGTGGGTAACCACAGGCAAGCTGGCAAGGCAGTAAGAGCCGGTGCCAACTGTTGACCGATCTCTGTGGTCCTGTCGTGGGATGTTTGGCCAACTCCAGTCATGAACGTTCAAGTGCGCGGCGAACGCTCGAGAGGGGGAAACGCGCAGCCCAACCCGGAAAACCGCACTCGGATTTTACAATCGGATGTGAAACCTGGCATGTTAATGTAATTACCGAATGTTAATAACCACCGCCAAGGTTTGGCTTTCCTGGGTAAATCAATTCCCTCTTGACGATGGTAAATACGTGCCAACGGTGTTCAATGCTCTCCGGCTATGAGCAGTGTGAGCTGTACGCTTACTCTGTTTTTTTCGGTAAAGACACGTAGGTAAAAAAACACAAATAAAAATAAATGAAAACGAAATTAAATAACGACATTTCGGAAGCAACACAAAAACAAGCCGTACGCTTGTTTTTTTTGTGTGCTAAGCGTGTCAAGACGTTCCGTTACTTAGACTTCTTGCACGTGATGATGATGATTCTTATTACTATTATCATTTCCTACGACCAACTCACCACGAAAGATGCATCATCTCGTCGTCTAAGCTCACGCTAAGGCAGAGTTGAGCCTGGCTAGCAGAACTGGGTGACCATCGGAGAGGTGTGCCAGCCAGCTGGGTTGCTGGATGTTAAGGCTCGTTGCCCATGCTTCCAAGGTGCGTGGGATTTGTCGCTTCCTGCGACACAAAGCCAACAACTTCGCGAGTGAACTTGACCACAAACCTCTCGCCATATAGCGGCACCATTGACGGATCCGGGGGGGGAGATGAGTGATTGCCCCCCCCTCCTCCTTCCCACCTCTCTGATACCACGAAAAGTGGAATTTTATAAATATAAAATTGTATTAGTATAAAATACCACTTGTGCTCTGGGATGTCGCTCAGGTGACTAATTGCTCTGCTGTGATAAGCTTATGATGTTGTCGTTGTTGTTGTTTCTACCTTTTGTTTCATGCCATTTGTTGATTCATTTACTTTTTCTGAGGGTTTCCATTTACCTTTAATAATTGGTACACGAAGAGGGTTTAGCCCTCTTCGTGTGCCCTCATGCATAGTTATTGTACAGCGCTGTGAGATGCAACTGGCATGAATGACGCCGTATGAAATAAAATTCCTATTAATAAAATACATTATATTTTATTAAATTATTAATGTAGGGCCTTATTTAACTCCCCACTTTGGGAAGTCTTTAGATTCGCCGTCTTCTGAGTTTGGGCAAACAGTTGTCGTTAATCTGTAAAACAGGTGTTTTGGATTAGATCGCGTAAATATATAAACGTGTCGTTAAACCCGCCACTACATTCACAATCCGAGTACGACGTTTCGCCAGTAATTACAACTAGCTTCATCAGGCTGACAGCCAGATTTCCACATCCACAACATTTACAATCCATTACGACGTTTCGCCAGTAATTACAACTAGCTTCATCAGGCTGACAGCCAGATTTCCACATCCACAACATTCACAAGCTATTACGACGTTTCGCCAGTAATTACAACTAGCTTCATCAGGCGGACAGCCAGATTTGTTGTCGTCAAGCTCAGCACCACCTTCGTCCGCATTATCGTGAATATCCGCGCCCGTCACTATCGTGGCGGGCGAGGGAGGGATGGAGGGGGTGATCGACTCACCACGAGTGGCACGGAGCAAACGACGAACACGGCGGTCATGGCGACGAGCAGACACATCATCTGCACCTCGACTCCCGAGAGCCGGCACCCCAGCGCGAACCTCCGCTGTCTGACGCCGGAGCCGCCGAACGCGAGCGCTGCGGGCACCGCGAACCTCCCGGGTCCGCCGGGGGAGCTCCTCCTCGGACCGTGCCTCGCCGCCCCCTCGGCCGCCCTCGTGGCGGAGGCTCGCCTCCTCATGGCCACGAGGGCCGCGCACACGCACGCGTTGCAGCACACGGTGACGAGCACGAGCGCGGCGCTGAGCACCGCGTACGTGAAGGCGAAGGCCTTCTGCGGTCCGTCGTGTTTCTTCCAGTCGATGTAGCACCACGTGTCCGGGTGCTGGCGCACGCAGCGGCCCACGCCCATGCTGGGCAGAGCGCACAGGAGCACGTTGAGCGCATAGACAGCCAACAGGGCCCAGCGCCCAGTCGCTGGACGCACGTGCCTGCCGTACAGGTACGGGTGGTTGATGGCCAGGTAGCGCTCCACGGCCATGGCGCACAGGATTGACATGCCTGCCAAGCCGAAGAAGAGCAGCATGAAGGCGAAGTAGTCGCACAGCGGCTGCCCCCCGCGCCACTTGAAGCCGGCCAGGTAGGTGTCGATCACGATGGGGCTGGTGAGGCACGTGCCCAGCAGGTCGGTGACCGCGAGGCCGCACACGAGCGTGTAGAACGTCGTCTCCTTCTTTTCCTTGCGCGATACGCACAGCACCACGATGGCCACCAGGTTGCTGAAAACGCCCACGGCGAACATGCAGGCCGGGGTCGTCACCTGGCTAATGGTGAAGAGCGAACTGCTCCCGTTCACTGTCAGCGATGAGTTGTTCATGGTTCTCGCCCTCTCCCGTTCTCTCTCGCTCTCTCGGCGTGTCTCTCACGCGCGCCTCAACATCCCCGGCGCTGAGCCGCTTCACTCTGAGACGAGGCTCCTCCGCGTCCCTGGCTGAGAGTCACCTGCGGAGAATGAGATCCCTGTCCTGCCGGCATCTCTCGGTCTCCCCAAAACTCCGCGGTGATGTAAAATCCCGATCCCGCTGCAGGTGGGCGAATGTGAGCGAGCAGGGGAGTCGCGCCTCGCAGGCGACAGGTGAGACGCGCTTGGCAGGCGACAGGTGACAGGTAACGGATGAGAGAGGCGTGCTTTGACAGGCGACAGCTGAGCTGTCGGCGAGTGTCCAGAGCAGGCAGGCGAGAGCGTCGGTCGCGAGTGGCCGGCGTGCGGTTGTGAGCCGGTGAGCGATGCGAGTGCCGGTGGTGCGTTGGTCCTCCTGTGTGAGTGTGCAGAGAGACGGTGTGTGGCGTGGCCCGGTACTGGTCATGATGCTGCCGCTCCGTGTGTCTCGTCCGTCTGCTTTAAGCGCTCAGCTGGGTGCGCTCGTTGACGTCACGTGCGCTGGGAGGAGACGCGGGCGAGTGACTGTGTGTGGGTGTGTGCCTGCCGTGTCTCAGTGGGAAGCGGTAGTGCAGTGGTCAGCGCGCTGCGCTACCAACCTGGTGACCCGGGTTCGATTCCCGCTCACGGCCAACAACAATGACGATTATCTGAGCCGGTCCTGGGCCTCCCCTAGGTCGGCTCAACCTCGGATCAGTACCTGATGCTGCGTGTAAACATCGCCAAGAGCGAGGCAAAGGCGGCCGGGCATTGTGTTGGCCACACACCCCCTCGTGTGCCCTTTCGGCTTTCATAGGTGCTACTCGCTTACAGCACTTGCCTCAGCTACACGGGGGATTTTTGTCTTTGTGTGGTGTGTACTTCTTGTATGTATATCTATGTGGGGCGGGGGTGGGGGTAGCACAGTGCGCTACGAACCCGGCGACCCGTGTTTAAATCCCGCTCACGACCGAAAATAACAGGTGTGTGCCACAGTACAGGTAGACCCAGCAGCCATCGTCACCGCATCATTATCGTGCACCTGGCCAGGGCCGGTGTGATGTGGTTGATTCGGTTAATGTTTTTTTTTTACCGTTTAAAAATAAACCAGCCGACAATGCGCCTACTTCACAGATTAATTTCTGCACAAAAACAAACCAAATCAATCATCGGGCAGTTCACCAGCATTGGTGCAAGCGAGCCTGACTCTGCTGGTGAGACACTGAATGTCGAAACCCGGTGCAAAGTTTGCTTGTGTTGAACGAATCCTGCTATGTAATACTCCCTCTAGGAATGCCGTTCGGCCGATGGTCTTTTTGAAAATTACTTTGATATTCATTTTATTTTACGTGGAGAGACAACTGGTGGGAAGGAGGTGGATTGTTTGATTCTCCACAATCACGATGCAGGACCATTTTACATCATTATTTATAGCAGCCAAGCTCGCTCAGAGACCGCGAGTCTGTTTCTCCAGGGAGTGCTGGATGTGGATTTCACGGCGTTTTTAATCTCATTTTGTAAACACTCAGAGCTGAGTGCGTCTTTTACGTCTTCGGGTGAAGGTTTTGTAAAAAAAAACACATCGATACTGGGGATAATAATTGTGATTAAACCCCAAGACCAGGACCAACGACTCGTACGCACGAGAAGCGCCTTCACGCCCACGTTCATCAGTGTTGCTGCGCACGGTGGGATGAGGAGGAGGAGGTTGGGGAGAAAGGGGGGATAATTGTGTGGTATTGTTTGGTGTGGTTGGACTCATCTCTCCCTCTCCGCTCTCACTGTCACGTGTCGCGAGAGTGGCTCTCTCTGTCTCTCTCTCTGTGTGTTTACTTTGCGTCCTCCCCCTCCCATTGTGTGTTTCCGTGTCCGTGAAGTGGTCGCCGCTTCGTCGGCACGCCACCGAGTGGCTCTGCGCTCCGGTGCGCGAAGGACGCTTCCCCGACGCGACTCGACAACGAGAACCCTGGCGCCTCGCAATGAGCTCTCGCCTGGTGGAGAAACTCAAAGTTTCGTCCGTCAACCTTCCCCTGCTCGCCCCCCCACCCCTCTCCACCCACCCCCCCGCTCTCCCCTAGTGGTGAAGTGAAGACGAGATTCGTTGTTTGTGCCAGGGTGGGCGTGAGTGAGACGGCGGAGACCGTGGGGATGGAGCTAGGAATAGAATCAGCCCGGCCAATCCCAACTGCTCACCCCCAACATCTCAACACATTCCTCAATAAGACTTATATAACATTAATATAAAAGTGTGTGTATATATGCAATAGGTGACGTTTTGGGCGATTGCATAGCACATCGTTTATTTATAGAATATTCCATGTGAAGAAGGGCAATTGGCCGAAACGTCACCAATTTTTTTTAATCTCTTAAAAAAAACTGTGACTGAGGAACTTTCTTTTGGAATCCCTAGAAACATTAACTTTTATTGAGAAACCATAACCACAAGTAGCCACCGTCCAAATGCAAAATTGTATGCAAATAATTGAGAAATCCATCACAACAGGAACAATGCAGAAATAAACAAACCCTGTACGATCGCATGTATACATTTTACGAAAGTTAAACCGTTGGGCTAAATGTCACGCATGTCACATCATAGCCGAGAGTATGACTCATCCCAGTTAATCCCAGTTCGCACTCCCGGCCGTTTCTCTCCTTCTTGATCTGATCCCAACAGGAGGCCCATCTCTCCTTCCCTCTTCCTGGTGATAGATCGTGTTGAGGCGAGGGAGCCATGTGATGTAGAGGGTGGCGATTAAGGAGGAAAAGGAGGCAGGTGATGGAAGAGAAAGCAGGTAATGGAGAAAGAGGCAGGCGATGGAGGGGGAGGGGGGCAGGTGATAGGGAAGGAGGAGGTGATTGAGGAGGAGGCAGGTGATGGAGAGCGATCGGGGGTTGTTGGTGATGGAGCGCTCCTCTGTGTGTGCACGCTACCTGCCCTCGTGTTAATCGTTAACGAACGGCTCCCTGCCGAGGAAGAAAATCATTACCGATGTAGTCACGTGCCAGGGCCGTGACGGGATGGGTTTTTTTTCGGATCGTCATTTGGGATTTTTCCAGATGGTCATTTTCATCAGCGCTGACCGGAAGTCTCGGTCAAGGGCGGCGGCGACGGCGCCGTCTCCGAGAAGCCCCGCGCTTGACGACGGCTCCACAGCGGCCACCCGATGCGGCCAGATTCGCGAGCAAACAAGCAGTGTCGCACGCGTCCCTCGGGACCTGGAATTCATTAATTCCGTGGGGTCAATACCTCCTCCCGCTCCCCCTCTCTTCCCCATCCGGGTGGGGGCTCGCGAGGACCACAGAGCCGCGGACCCTGCGTGCCCTCCTAGGTTCGATGACGGTCGGCCGAGGTCTCCTCGCGTCACTTTCATTCCGGAGAAAAGACGCAGAGCCGGAGAGGCGCGCGCGCGATGCCGGGGAGGGGGGGGGGCGGTCTCTGACACCCGACACATTCGGGGCCAACATCGCAAATCCCCGGCGGTGATTTGTCGTCGTTTTGAGTGTTTTATGAACGAAATAAATAATCTCGCTGAACCCCCCCCCCCACCCCCCAGAGTGTATTGCCGCGCGAGGCAGAAGAGGAGGCGGAGGGGAGGAAGAGGAGGAGCGGACGACGCCAGGGGTTGGAGTGTTCCGTTCCCGCAGTGAGCGGCAAGGACGTTCCGTCACCCGACGTGAAACACGTCCACACCTGGGCACAGGTGCGACCGCGTGCCTCGGCAGGAGACGCGCTGTGTCACTGGGAGGGTTCTCGCATGATGGAACTCGAGACGAGGAGGTTGTAATGTGCACGCGAATAGGGCGAATTTGTAGGAATCAAGATGTGCCGGTTCGTAATGTCCGGTCCCCACGTGGCGGCATCTGGGCTGTAGTCCCATCACTCCCCATCACTCCATCACGCGGTCCTCCATAACTCCATCACCCATCAATAACCGCCATCCGTCCCCCATCTCCGGATACGTGAGAATGCTCTCTCTCTCGCCTATCCCTGGGCTTGCCACGACGAGACTGGCCTAACGTATCAGCGACATCGCCCCGTTTAATTGACAGAGAGAGAGAGAGAGATCCCTACATGTCACCTGTCACCCGCCCGCGAAGATCGACGCTTTGCAAATACGAGTCGTAGGGGTGGTGCTGTGGGGGAGGCAGGGGGACAGGCTGAGGGAGAGGAGGGTATCAAAGCTCACCTCTGCGGCCCTGGTTTCTATGGCGATCTGCTTATCATTCAAATGATCGTGAGTCATAAGGTTTTAAAAGACTTCCGCCAATGCCACCCACGCGAACATAACTTAGTTCACCCGCAAAGACAAAGACCCCCCCCCCCCCCCCCCCCCCCCCCGGATAGCCTTAACAGACTGTTTGGGGCAAGTGCTGTTAGCGAGTAGCACCTACGAAGGCCGGCGCGGCACATGAGGGGGTGGGTGGCCAGCACAACTCCCAGCCGCCTTTGTCTCTCCCGAGTGGTGACTTTTACATAATCGCACCAGGTTCTAATTTAAGGCTCAGTCGACCTAGGGGAGGCCCAGGACCGGTCCAAATATTTGCCACTGTTATTGGTCGTGAGCGAGAATCGAACCTCGGGTCGCCGGTTTCGTAGCGCAGCGCGCGAAACGCCGCGTCACCGCTGCACCGCACACTGACACGCGCGTGCACTCCACAACCACTGCTACGATCGCTCCTGAACCGACTGTTGGGCGATGCGCTGCTGTTAGCGAGGGGGTGGTGGTGATTGGCCGGATGTCACAAGTCCAACGTTCCCCAGACTGTTTATGTTGTGTTTATGTTGTTTATTTTGTCCACGTTTGCTGTTATCGTGTTATTGTCAATAATGTGCATTTGTGTCCTTCACCTATTATTCTCTTGGCTACTGCCTCCGACGCGTTCTGTGCCGAGGTTCGCCGTCCCGCCGTATCACCTTCGTGTTCTTCTTTCGTGTTCTCCGCTGAAGATGCACCACGCATGTCCCTCGCAAACCCAGCTGGGCAACTGGCTGCACGGGATTTCCCGTGTAATAAATAGACGTTAAATTGAGTACCCATTCAAATCGGTGTCAAATCGTGGGGATTTTCACTCGAGATTGTTTGATGCAACGGGGCACAGAAACGACACCCGTCCGCCTTTGCATCGCCAGTGCTGATTAATGTTTACCCACAGCACCTTTGTAGTTGTTGTTACGACTGAGTAGTCCTAGGGGAACTCCTGGGCCGGTTCTTGATTATTGTGGCTGATGTTAGCCGTGCCCACGGCATCGACGTCGGATTTGCGCGGGTTTGGAGCGCAGTGCCCTTACCGCTGCGCGACCGCTCCACAAACACACACATCGCTGGCGCACGCGGCCTACTTGTGAACAACCCGAACGGATGAATCTGGTGATGTTGCTGCTGCTGCTGCGTTGATGGCGGTGCAAAAGCACAGCAATAAACACAACGCATTGGTCAATAACACTGTGGCTTTCACAGAACAAAAACACATATGGGCATCTTATTACATCACTTAGGCAGCA